ATTTAAGTAAAGTTGTTTTTTTCCCCACCCCCCATCGGTTCTTTTTCTTAGTGGTACTCAGAAAAGTTCAGTATTCACTTCTACTTCCTTACTTTCAAGTAAAAGGCAACTTCTTTGGTTTCGCGTGAACATGGTGTGCCCTTTGTGAACCTTCTTCCCGACGTCCCGAGCTCTGCATGGCTGTGTCCTCAGCTGCTCGCAGCCCTGCCAAGCTGATGGCTGCAGAATTCCTATTGGCCTGCCTTTGCCCTGTGGACCTTGGCGATTCCATGAGTTTGTTGTTGCTTTGTGTTGTGCTACAGTGTGCAGGAGAGATCTCGAGGTCTTTCCTGTCCTATTTGCTGCAGCGTGCCTGGCATGTTTTTACTAACAATGTCAACATACCTTCATGAGTACTCTGCTGCCCAGAGACACGATTTGCTGTTAAAATACTTGGAGTTGCATGAAAATCCTGATGGCAGTGTTTGTTAGAGTAGAGCATTGGAGTCTGTCACAAATAACTTCAGTTTGTTTGGCAGTGTTGGAAGAAACAGAAAAATTTAGCCATGTTACTTTCACAGATAATCAAAGGGCTGGATATTTCCAAAACTGTAACTTGGTGGAAGTGGTGGTGAATGAGAACTGCTGTAGGTAGAAAAGAAGGTGAAGGTTTAAGTCTGTGATTACATGTGAACAATTCTGAAAGTGTTTGTTTGTTTGTTTTGGGGGGAGAGTGGTGGTACTTTTTTTAACAGCTTGGAAAAACAAGGTTTTATCATTCAGGATCTTCTGATGCTTTGATAGCCTGACTTAAGAGGAAGGTATCAAGGTACATCTCATTAAATATGCTCCAAGGTGCTCTCACTGAACTATTGACTTCAGTGTAACACTTGGGGTAGAGACTGCAGAAAGGTCAGTACTGGAGAAGAAAACTAAAGTAATCCTTATACTGGTAAAATGACAGTAACTAAATTATTTTGCTTTAACATTTTTTTTTTTCCCCAGATAAGTTGTTAGGAAATGTCTGTCTTGATTTCTTCTTAACATAGGTGATGCTGTATTGTCTGAGAAAAACATATTAGCAGTCTACCTGTGAGTTTCTTAGTGTGTCCTGGAAAAAAAAAACAGTACTAACAGAATATTGCAAGTGCCTTAGTAACAAGAACAATTTTGTGCATGGTTTGCTCAGCACGTGATAATTGCAGTGAAGAATGCGTGGTATGGAATGGCAATTAAAATATGTTATTTTAGAGGATGATAGGCTCACAGATCTGGGGTTTTTATGCATGACACATGGCTGTATTTTTGTAGGTGCTGGAAAGCAAGCAGAAATCCATGTGGAAGCTTAATTCCTGGTCAGACCTCCTGCTGGGGAGGCACAGTCTCCTGACTGTTTGAGGCCCTCCTTTTTAAGGCCAACTATTTCACAGAATCACAGAATTGTCTAGGTTGGAAGAGACCTCCAAGATCATCTAGTCCAACCTCTGACCTAACACTAACCAGTCCTCCACTAAACCATATCACTAAGCTCTACATCTAAACGTCTTTTAAAGACCTCCAGGGATGGTGACTCAGCCACTTCCCTGGGCAGCCTGTTCCAGTGCCTAACAACCCTTTCCGTAAAGAAGTTCTTGCTTAAGGGTGGAAGGCTTGCCTTTTTTTTTTTTTTCTTTTTTTAGGAACATGACATCAAAACAAACCCCTACAACTAAACACACCTTCATTTTGGGGCAGCTGACAAATTCTGGAAACCGATGAGGATTGTAGTGTCGGTTATATGTGTTTGTTACGTGCTGAGCTTGTGGTAGTGACCAAGGAATTGTCAGGTTTGCCTTCTTCCCTGTACTCATCAGGCCTGCATCATCTCAGCCTTGTTGGATTTGTCCTTTTTGAGCTGATCAGATGGGTTCTTTGGAAGGAGCATGAGCCTTCAAATGAAGAGAAGTGTAAGGTGTCTTAGTCATTAACAGAGTGCAACTTGGGCTGGTTTTGCTTAACCTTGGCAAAATGTGCAAATGGGTACCCACGGCATGAAAACCATAGCTTTTCATCTGTCATCCCTCATACAGAGGCTGTTACAGTGTGTTCTGCTTCGCCTAATCCCAGACCTAGTGAATGGAAGGAAGGGGTGCTGGGTTTTATACTGAGCTCCAAAACTGCATCTACAAGGTCAAAATGAAATTGCAAGACTGATGTAGATGTTTGTTTTTTTTTTCTTTTTCCTTTGTGAGGGCATTTGTAGTGATTATGTTAGCATTTACTGTTGCAGTGATTGTTGTTATTCCTGGCTATAAACTGGAATGTTTCATTCAATCATATAACTAAGAAAACAAATAATAAGAAGAGCTTGTCCACCAGTCATGGGGTTTTTACAGCACTTTTTATGCTAGAGATGATAATTAGCTTTTAGTCAACAGCTTCCTCTTTGGCCTCTGACCCAGCAAATTAAAAGCCTTATTCAGGAAACATTTGTGGCTGTTATAGCATGAAATGGAAAATCAAGTACTCAAGGTCATTGTTGAGGTAAGGTGCAGAGGTAAGTTTAAGATACAGTTTCATGGTTTATCCCCCACTAGTTGTTTTAGCAGATGAAAGCTAAAAAAAAAGGTAAACAGATGCAGCCATATAAAACTTGAAGTCTGCATCAGCCCAAGTCCTTGTAGCAGCAGCAAACTACTGAGAAATACATCTCAGGTGAGCACAGGAAGACTTGTTCTTTAAGGGGTTCAGGTGCTCTGAGAAATGCCACAACTGAGGTGCCAGAATTGGGAAATCTAAAAAATCGGTTCTCATTAGGAGCATAAGTGAAAATTGTATTACATATCAGAGGAATAAAACTAAGCATATGTATTTTGACTGCTTAAACAGCAATGGAGTATGGAACCATGTGCAGCAATACTGAAAGCCCGACATGCATCAAAAGACTTGGGGTTTTCCTTAGTTCTCCAGAAAACTAAGAGAACTAAGTTCTCTTAGTTCTTAAGGGAGAGAGCACCTCTGCTATGCACAAGCAAGGATTAATACTGAAGACTCTAAGTTGTGGTTTTAGGGCCAGGATTACTGCCCATTATCAGCAGTCAGGTAGTGTCCTCTAGTTCTGTACAAATAGCTTTTTGTACTCAGGTGCAGATTGTAGTGGTTGGAATGTGACTTTGCAAAAGGCCTGTGGCTCTCCCCTCTCTCCCCTCTTCTTTCTCATTATAAAGTCTGTAGTTGATTTCCTAAGGAATAGTACTACAACACCGGAAGAAAATGTCTGAATACTAAGGCTGCAAGCACATGAATTCCTGTTTGGTTACTTGCATTTTCGACAGCCTCCCTGAGGCCTGGGCCACACTTGCAGTACAGTGATGCCCATTAATTACAGGCATGCCCATTAATTACATGCCACCTCCAGTGCTGGGCTTGCAGGGTAGGCCGGGGCCAGGCCTGCAACACCCTGGCCAATTCCTGCCACCACCCAGCCATGGGCCAGGCTACTGAGCCCACCAGGCCCCTGACCCAAACCTCTCCCAGTTCAGCCTGCTGCTGGGCAAACTTTGGGGCACAGCCTTGATCGTGGACACTAGGGCTTGGCAAGCCTTGTCTTTTAGGCGTAGGTTACTCCCAGAGGTCATCAGCTGTTGAGGCTGTGATTATGTTCAAGCCCAGCTTCCCAAAGGCCAGCAGATTAAGAGGAAAGGCTGAAGGCTATAAAGAGAGTAACCCTGTGATGGCTTGGACTGTAGGCCTTATTAGTTTTGTGGTGTTTTAATGTGGAGTTGGAGGTATGTCTACTCTCTTCCAAAATGCCAAAAATATTCAAGACTCAGGAAGAAAATAATAGTATTAAGGACAAGTTGGAAACAAAAGCTGACCTGTTTGTGGAAATAGGTTGAGGATAAACAAGCAAAGAAAACAGCCCACAGGGATCTGGGACGAGGAGGCTGGAAAGAGAGGAAGAGTTAGAAACCACAGTACAGCACTGGTGGAAAAGGTTTCGAGTACAGTTCATAGAATCACAGAATATCCTGAGTTGGAAGGGACCCGTAAGGATCATTGAATCCAACTTCTGGCTCCATTCAGGTCTACCCAAAAATTCAGACCGTATGACTATGCACAGTCCAAACACTTCTTGAACTCTGGCAGGCTTGGTGCCATGGCTACATCCCTGGGGAGACATCCCACGATGATGTCAGCCAGGTCTCTAAGCACACTGGGATGGATCCCATCCAGACCCATGGACTTGTATGGATCCAGGTGGGGCAGCAAATTCTACGCGTTCAGGGCCGGTTGGGAGTTTGTCATTCCCACCGTCATGGTCACCCAGGGACCGGAAGCACATCATCAGCACTGAAGACAGAGGCAAAGAAGGCATTAAACGTCTCTGCTTTGCCTAAGTCCTTGTCTGTGAGGTGACCTTCCCCATCAAGTAGTGGACCTATGTTTTCTCTGGTCCTCCTTTTTCTATTCACATATTTAAAAGGTCATTTTTTATTGTCTTCCACAGACCTGGACAGCTTAAACTCTAGTTGGGCTTTGGCCACACAAATTTGCTCCCTACAAACATGAACAGCATCCCTGTATTCCTTCCACGTTGCCTGACCCTGCTTCCAGCAGCTGTACACTTTCTTTTTCTGCCTAAGCTCCAGAAGAAGATTCCTGGTCAGCCAAGTTACTTCATGGTCCCCAGAGCTGTTAGGAGCTGATGAAGCTGGTTATGTAGGATGGGCTGGAGGCTGTTTGGGATGGTGAGGAGGTAAGGCAAGCCCAAGAGGTCATGAGGAAGCCCAGCCCTTGCCAGAGACAGCTCTGCTGCTCCCTGCTGTGCTACAGCTGAGCAGCATTCCAACTGCCAAGAGTTAAGCATTTGGTCATGTAAGGATGAAGTAAATCAGCATGTTCAGTGTTAGCTGCTACTGAGGGGAGAAAAAAAACCTGTTGCCAGTTCACTCTCACTGTTGATGAGAATTTGTACACTGGACTGCCTATTTTTTTGTCTTTGCTATGCTGAAAGTTCTGTCTAGGTGTGTTCCTGAGTGGTCATGAGTGAATGGTGAAGAAACAATGCCATGCTGGGGTCATACCAAGAGATTATTCTGAATAATATTGTGTCCATAGCATATCTGGTCACTTTATAGTTTGTTATTGGATCATGTATTTTCAAGCTGGAGTGATCAAGTTCCCCACAATAAAAATATGAGAGACTGTGACAGCAACCTCTTCTTGCTCTGGAATGGAACTATTTTGTCAGGTACTCCATTTAGTTTCTTCATGCAACAAGACCAGAAGAGCCATGACCTTCTTCCATAGAAGATGAGTTAAAATGAAGGTGAGGGAGTGTGTTAGAGAGTTGGGGATTTTTGTTAAACCCATGTTTTATGTCACTCGTAGTATTTCTGAGAACATAGATCCCTATGCTTATGTAGGTGGGTAGAAAGAGTGCTGAGGGTGTGAAGTGCCCTTGAACATGGCAGGTCATGTTACAGCATCTGAATACTGGCCTTAGAAGACATGTCAGTATAGTATTTACATACCAATACAGTGTTACTGCAGTATTTATAGTTTAAGTACTACATCATAGTTGTCTTGACTTGAGGAACTGATAATTCCTGCATCACCACGTAAGACATAAGCTTGTGACTGCATACTATTTTATGAAATAACTAATATTATTGCATGTTGAGTTTGTTTAGTGTGCTTTGCCTTTTTTTTGTTGTTGTTGTTGGTCATAGGAAGCAGATTTGATTGAAAGACTTGATGATTTGGATCTCAGAAATGATTGTGATGTTCCAGATGTTCCTTCATCAATAGACAGCACTCCAGAAATCCTCAGAAGGGCTTTGTCGGGCTTGTCTGCCAGGTATAGTAAAACAAACAAGCTCTCATATTTGAGAGCTGCTGAATAAAATTATTACTGATTGTATTGAGGTTTTAATTTTTGTTTGATCTACATGAAAATTAAAGACTAAATTTTTATTTGATATCATGATTGGTATGTTTATGCTTCAGCCTGTTTAGTGCAATTTTTTTTGCATAGGACATGAAGATTGCCCATGTGAGCATTTCTAAATGAATTGCCACAATGTTTAGCTACAGTTTAGATAAACGTTTGTGGTAGTTCAGTCTATGTATCAGAAGATAAGATCAACAGATATTCCTTTACCTGGCAAAGCAGCGGCTTTGCGAACATAGGCAGTCAGCAATCCCCTGGTTTTGCCTGCCAGTCCTCAAAGATTTCTATGCTTTTTTCCTGGTAGCCTTTCTTTCATGGGTGAGCCTTTACGTGGCTGGTTCCCCATGGCTCCTGCTGTGAAATGCTCCCTGGGGATCATGATGTATTTTCACAGAACCTTTAAGGAGGGGCTGATGCATTAGATGGCAAATGAAGGCATTTTGTGGGGAGGAGAGGGATGGGGAAGAGGAAAGATGGCTCACTTGGCTTTCTTTATTGTGTCCCCTCGTGAGGTGGCTGGCTGCTTGGTTCTGTGTTTCTTACTATGTGTCTTATTAAGCAAGATGCCTGGTCTTCCTTCTGGTAACCATCTACTTGAGTCTTTGGTTAGGGAAGGAAGTGGCCATTATATTTAATTCTTACTGGTTGCTTTTTATTCTCTTTTTTCTTGGCAGATGGAAGAACTGGTGGATTCGTGGAATTCTAACTCTAGCTATGATTTCTGTGTTTTTTCTGATAATATACATGGGATCTTTCATGCTGATGCTTCTGGTAAGTTTGTTTAAAATCTTCTGTTGTGCAAGAGTTACTTCATCTCCTTGTCATGCATAAGAAATAGGTGGAAGTCAAGTGCAGACATTACAGAAAACATTTTGTCTCTTAATTTGGTAAATACAAGTATTCTTGAAAAATTGGAAGAGTTTTCAGTTGGACCTTGTGGATGAATGCCTTCTCAGCTACTTAAATTAGGTAGGAATTAAATAAGTTGAACAGTTCTTTACATTGAAGCTTATGAGATTAATGTCATTCATTTGCTTGGCTTGTTCCCACTACCTTCTCGTACCCTCTTTAAGACTTGCTTGAAATACACAGAAGGAGAGTTCCATTTTTCAGGCTGAGAAAAGCAAGCAGCTCTTGTCTGCCGGCAGTGCCTGGCTCTAAAAGACTTTGCTCACTCATGCTCTGTTAATTCCTTGCTTCTCTTTCCTTGCTTCTCTCCAGGGCTCTCTAGGGTTTATCCATAGAATGGAGATAGGTGCCTGTCCAAGGTGCAGAGATAAAATGTTTTTTTAGGCCATGAATTGAACAAATATCATCATAACATTCATACACACTGCATACTACCTCTTCCCATCATTTTTATGGCTGGTATTCTTAGTGAGTAATGGTTTAACTATTTTTTCCAGTCATGACAAGCAACAAACAGGGATGTGGCTTCTAGAACACTGAAATTAATGCTTGTGAGTAGCTGCTTTGATTTTTGACTAAATTTGCAAAATAGTTTTTTTTTTTTTTTCCCCCATGCCTACTCTGAAACACTTTTGGATGGTAATGTCTTGAGATACCGGAATGCTTGTTCACCAGTATTATGGCCTGTATTAGAGTCCCTGTCTGAATGAGTCTAGTTTGTATTTCCTGTTGTCAGAAGAATGACACAAGCTTGTAATTCACAGTTTCATTGGTGGACGATGTCTTTGTTTTCTTGTTTCGTCATACACTCAAAGCTTCATTACAGTGTAGGTCATTGTAGAGGCATTTTTCACATTTTTTTTTTTTAAGTATAACACTTCCAGAATGAGAACTGGAGCACAAACAGTTTGCAGTTCAATTTGGTGTATTCATAGTATGCTCGAAGACTGCAGTCATGGGCAAAGCTGCCAGGAGATGAACCAAAAAGCTAGTATGGAAATAATAATGAACTCTTCCTTTTGACTATAAAACAAAACTCAGAATGGTTCTCTAATGTAATCAACTGTTTCTCAATTTGACGTTTGTTACCATGTAAAAAGGAACGGAGGAATAAAACAGTTCTGCTCATGAATTATTTTATTTCACTGGAATCACGTAACTTAAATTGTCACAACTTTTGTTGTGCCAAAACTAAATCTTAATACTGAGATGGAAAATGTTTGGAGACTTGTAGGGAAGTCCAGCTAAGCTGGGAAGAGAAGCTGTAAGACTTGTATAAGAGGTTGAGAATATACTTTACATTTGTCTGGAGGTAACACGCACAAGTTTCCATGCCTTCATCCCCAAATGTCCTTTTCCACTTTAAGGCGTAATCCTTTACTGGTGCTGTTTTGTGTAGCGATTTGGTTTATAATGTAGACAAATCAGACAAGAGAGCATGAGATAGACAGACATCAAAGTTAACTCGCTAAGGTGATGTGATACCCTATAGGCTGTGGTTACGTGTTGAGCAAGGTGAAATGTGTTCGTGAGCGCATGTGCTAAGAGAAATCCTGCAAAGCCTGGTGTGATGATATGCATGGTTGGTGTAGGTAGGTTCATCCTCCAGCCTCTGCACAGGATTACTGCTGACCCATATTTGGAAATATGTGGTATTGGGGCAAGGTCATCTCCTTGGTGACTACGGCTTAGGCGAACTGGCTGAGACCTTCAGAGTGCAGCAGCTCACAGGACACACTTACAGACTTGCACAGACAAGCACAGCACTATGAGATGACAAACAACATGGAGACTGTGCAGGGTGTGACGTTTGGACCTGCGCTAGGTGAGCAGTGCCTCTTCTCATCAGTGCTAATTAGCAGCACATGCTTACCCTTAATGAGGCTCTTGCAAATGGAAGACTTGGCTGTCCACGTTCTGTTGCAGAGTCCATTTTTTTTTTGCACTGGACTTTGAAAATTTTGCTTAAATTGAAAAATTAAATGTAACCAAAAGTAGTAGAAGAGCCTACTCTTTACAGGAAATGATTTTTACTTCCTGCTGCCAAACTGCTTTGGTGAGGAAAAGTAAGGAGCTTTCCCTTATTTCTGGAGGGATTTCTTGCAGCTAGCCCAGTATGCCTTTTCTCAACAACTGTACTTCCCTGTGTTCTTGCTTGGAAGCTGCCTTCTTTCTGCATGGAATTTGGATTCAGAATAATTTTTTCCCCTTAACACAGGTTGCAGTACTCCGCACAGCCTTCAAGAAACAACTATAGTGTATCTGCATAGCTTTTTTCTTTTTGTTTTAGGTCTTGAGCATCCAAGTGAAATGTTTCCATGAGATCATTACTATAGGTTACAGAGTCTATCACTCCTATGATTTACCATGGTTTAGATCCCTCAGCTGGTGAGTAGCAAACAAGACCATCAATAAGTAGAGATTTGAAATTTAAGTCTCTTCATTCTTTGTATCCTGTTGTGGTGCAAGGATAGCTTTGTAGATTGTGTGCACATGGAAAACTTGACATCTGTTTCTACTGCAGGATTCTCTGTGTGCATGTATGTATACTTGAAGTCAGAATTAAACATCTGAAAGCTACCTAAAAATGTGCATAGCCAAATAATCACCTGATCAGTATTATCTGAACAGCTTTGACTTTTTTTTTGTATTTACCTTTGTGTAAGAAAATAACCAAATAGGTACTTTGAAGCGCTCCTTTTCACGCATAAGTAACTAAAATCATCATGTACAAGTTGTAAATCCTCACTCATTTTGCATTTAATCGCAATCACAGGAGTGAATAAATAAAGAGGTGTCGAGGGATCTTTTGATAGCCAGAAGATATAATTAATGTTACTGGCAAATCCCAGATAGTTGTGGCAATGCCCTGCTTATGCAGGGCTCTGTAGGGCTGGGGAAAAGATTTCTACTTCTGAGTTCTGGGAGGAGAGATGAAGGCATTTGATAAGAGGGAGTATTTTAGGAGGATATTGGGCACATGTTGTCTCTAAGGTGCTTGAGGACATAATTGTTCAGACCTGACCTATTTTATTTTTTTGTTTGTTTGTTCAATTAATTGAAGTGATCCAAGGTACTCCTGCCTCTTGTCACATTGCTTCTTCACTTTAAGAAGCAATTTTACTGTGAAATATCAATTTATTCTGTCAGCTCTCTGTACAAGCTAGTTGGTTCCCTTTGCTCCGTCCTGGGTTATCAGTAGGACTTGTCTATCGTCTGTATTATTCTGTGGGTTCTGGATCTACTGCTGCAACAGAATCAGGTATTTATGACTGCAGTCCTGCCAAAATTCTTAGAGGATGTGCACTGTACCGCTTTGTCTGGTTTGGCATTTAACCACAGTCACCTGCATACATGGAGCTCAAAATCAACTTTTCTGTTGCCGTGCTAGTTAAAATCAAAGTTTTGTTCAGTTGAACAGATGCAAGATATTGTTCTGTACTTTGAGAATATCTCAAAAGGACTTGCCCAAGTGTGGAGCACAAGTAGTTCTGTATGAAAGGATTTCTGCAATATCTGTTTTTCTAGTGTGGTTGCTGTAGAAGAAATAAACAACCAAAATTTGCTTGCTAAAAGTGAAAGAATGGGATGGTACTTGCATTTTGTTTCCATTGTGAACCTTTTCCACTTTCCACCTTTTGGGTTTTCTTTTTGTGTGTCGGGTGGGAGGATAGGGGGAGAGGGTTTTTTTGTTGTTGCTGTTTTTGTTTGTTTTGTTTTGTTTTTGTTTTTAATGAATGACACAATGATGTATTACCTTGTTAAAGTAACAGCTGCCTCTTGTCTGTTCCAGGTACTTTTTGCTTTGTGTCAACTACTTTTTTTACGGGGAAACTGTGGCTGATTACTTCGGTACATTTGTTCAGAGAAGAGAACAGCTTCAGTTTCTAATTCGTTACCACAGGTTTATATCTTTTGCACTCTATCTGGCAGGTAAGTGAAGGAAATGGCAGAAATGGAAGAACAGTGTGCTGCATTTATTTCTGTGCCTGTGTGTTTTGCTTTGTTTTTAAGAAAAAAGCTTCTTAGCTCTATCGACTCTATTACTCTTTTTCTGGTGCTGTTGGAGGAAATTTACACTTTTATCATCAAAATATGAGTATAAATTTTGCATTCACCTAGAAGAAGGTAGTGGTCTAAAAAACAGTTGATGCTTGTTGGAAGGTTGAGCTAATAGTACTCATTAAGAGTCAACATGATTTAATTTTGATGGCAGAAGAATTTGGGTTCAGTACCTGAATGTATCAAGAGTAGTTTGTCAGTTTGTGGAAATGGCTTGTATGTGTCATTACTGTGATGGGTTAATGCTTTATTGTGTAAGTGTTCTGCCAGGGCTACAGCAATAAGGTGTGTGATTATATTGTAAAGTGTTTATTCAAAAGGCCTCAGACTTTATTTTGTCTGTGAGATACTCTTTTGCTTGCCTCATGGATAAATGTTCCTCCCAGTCCAGGGAAAGAGTTCTTTAACAGCCTCCTTCCTGTGTCTGTGAACAAGTAAATGCAGTCCATGCGGCTTTCAGAAACACGTTAATGTTACTTTAGCCTTAAAAGTAATCAGCTGAAGACTCAGGTTGACCTAAGAAATGGGGAGACTGCCACACTGCAAGTATTTGTAAAATAGATGAAGAAACCTGATCTTCATAAAGAACTTTGTCTACTGCTACTGTTTTGTAAACCAAACAAAGCTTCTACTTCATGCTTAGATCACAAACTAGCAACCAGCCTTGCAAGACACAATCTGACCTTTTCCAGCCAGCTTCTCCCCAAGGAACCTAACACAACTAATGCTCATGGCTGCTGAAGGACGAGGAGGGGGAGAGCAGGCAGCAGCCACATACCCAGTGGGAGGCCAGGGGTCCTGCGGGTGGCCACCAGCCTCGTTCCTGCAGGGCGCTGTCATAGGGAAGGCCAGGACTCTGCATGCCCCCCAAGTTGAGGGGTGATATGTCTCCCTGGAATCTGCACTCTGCAGCACCCATGCCTCAAGGTTCTGTTGCCTGCAGCTGTATGCCTCTCTGGGGTAGAGGGGTGAGCTGGTGTTCACCTTCAGGTTATTTCCTGTTTGTCATTCAAATGAAGCTTGTTGGTCTGGCTTTGGGCACCTTTTAAAGGTGATGGTCTCATCCCCTAAAATTGATGTCCATGATGTGACCTTGTAAGTAATGAAACGGATGCTTCCTACTGATGTCAATTAAATGTTCTGCTCTAGTGAGAAGGATTCTCTGCCTGTGGTTACCGAACAGAAGTAGGTGCTCTAAACAGGCAGGTTGGAGACTGCTCCAAGGGAAGAGAATTACTGGTGTATGGTGGTTCAGTGTCATTACACATTCAGTAGTACAAACTATGCTTGCTTTGTTTTACAGGCTTCTGCATGTTTGTTCTGAGCTTAGTGAAGAAACACTACCGTCTGCAGTTTTACATGGTGTGTATTACCTACTTTGCCCTGGTCAGTTGCATACATATATCACTAGAAAGGGTCATGTCCTTACGTTCATAAAATACCTTGAAAGGTGGGGGTGTGAAACCAAGTGATGTTGGGCTGTTGGGTGTCTCTACCTATACATTGGGGTTTCTTATCGTCTCACAAAGCAGTCTTTCACTGAGCAAGGCCCTGTACACACTGTGACACTGCTCCTGTAGTGGCAGGTGGACAAGGGAGAGGCTCCCTCTGAGTGCGTGCGCCTTCCGTGCAGGTTGGAAGCCAGACACATTCGGCACGGGGTGGGACATGGTTCTGGTGTCTCAAGCACCTCTTTGCAGAGGCCCCATTGCAGTGCTAGGAAGGAAACCTGACCTGAACGCCTGCACAGGAGTTGGAGTCTGTGACACTTAACAGTTGTTCTGGCCCAGTGCTGTGCCCCAATAGATCATTCTTGTCCTGTAAGAAACCAGTGTTTCTGACTCCCAAATCTGATTAAAAATAGGAATGATCAGAAGCAACAGTAAAACAGTAATACAGTACTACTTGTCTTTAAAGAACTTGAGTGATCAGGGTGTTGTGCAACCTTAAAGATTACTTAAAGGTCAGTGGCTGCAGTTAACCCCTTTGTTTCTACAGGGCCTTAGGTGACACTTTACCACTGTGGGTCCCTCATTTTGGACTAGGACTTAGCTGAGCACTATAGCATTAAAAAACAACAGAAATTATATTCAAAAATGATTTACCCTATTTGTGGGAGAAGTTGCTTCACTGGGGGGAGATGCAGCTTTTTGGGAAGAGGTGATTTTGGTTTTGTAATCGACAAAGCACGTTATCTTTGAATTGGCACAAGGTAATTATATTTATTTCCCTGATATCCCTCTCTTCCCTCCCCTCTCTTGCCTCTTCCTCCCCCCTCCCCGGAAAAGGAAGGGTAAACAAATGTAGTCAGTCATTTAACATTGTGATTGTCCAGAAAGCATTAAGGTGTGACTACAGAAGAATTTCAGTAGAACAGAGGGGAACCTTTTTTTGAGGAGGGAACAGGGGACGGACAGTTTGGACTGAAGAGTAGTAGCCATTTGTTTTGTGTTGGTTTTTCAGTACCACTGTATGATTAATACATGTTTTGCTGCAGAGATGCTTTAGTTAACCAGGCAGGTAATATTTTCAGGAAGGTTGAGTCAGCTCTTGCACGTGCTTTCAGACTCTTCAGGTTTCTTAACTGCAAGTAGATGCTGGCTGCCACAGGAAAGCACACATGATAAGGAAATTAAGGAAGTAGGACATCCTGAGTATTAACTAGCACAGCCATTGTGTGCTTGAATTCAGTGTTGCCTGGAAAAATGACCAGGGTCTTTATCTGTGAGTTTTTGGAAAGCAAAATGTGATGTAGAAGCTTTGGAAACCACTTTACTGCATACTGCTGCTACTGAATAAACACTAGGTACATGGTGTAGTATTGGTGAAATTGACAGTTGAAATAGCCATGCCCATAAAAATTAACACTTAGTTTTCACTAATCCTGAGAAATTCCATCTTTCTTAAGAGGACCAGTATTCTGTCATGATATCCACATCTGTGTAACATGACTCTTTCATGAGTTCTTCATTGCCATTTTATTGTTACAGTTCTAACTTGTCTTTTACATATGTATATGCAGAATATCACATTGCTTATGTTTCTTTGCTGCTTTCATGCTGAAGGTATATGTCTCACTAAATTGGATGTTAAACTGCATGTTTAAAAAATTCCTGGGTAAAGGAAAACGATGGGGGAAAACTTTTAAAGTTTCGGTCCTTGCTTCTGAAAGCCAGCTGAATTGTGATGTACTGTATGCATGCATCTCTTGTCTTACTGCTAGAGCTGGTCTACTGTGAGCTCCTCAGGGCTCCTCTAGCTGATGTGCCAGTACTGATGGAGGTGTACTGATTGGTGTTTTCACTAACTGTTGTGTTGTTGCATTGTTAACAGTTCGCATGGACTCATGTCACTTTGCTGATCACTGTAACTCAATCTCATCTAGTCATCCAAAATCTCTTTGAAGGCATGATCTGGTAAGGGAAAAAGTAACAAACTAATTTGTAACTCTATTGCATTGAAAGGTTGGCTCTGTTACATAGCAGATCTAATTAGGGAGAGATCTAATTAGGGAGTTAGGGAATAACCACGAGAGCAGTCGAAGCTGCACCAAGAAGCATCCATGCTTAGTTGGAGGGGGAGTCGGAGGTGGTGGGAGCAGTGACGTAAAGGGTATAGGGCAGTGGGCAGAAACCCCTTAAGCTTGATAGGCAGCCACAAGTATGGTAGTTTCAAACAACTGCTTCGTTTATGTGCAAGGATCAGGGTTAATCCCAAGTATGGTCACTATCTCCCATGGCATTTGGTGAAGATGGGAACATGCAGCAGTTTCTTTTCAGCTGCTTGGGAGCTTGAGGTTCTACAGTCCTACTGAAATGGAACCATTTAATTTGGAAGATCAAATCTGGTGTCAGGAGTCCAGCTTGAGACCTTCTTTCCAGAAGGTTTCAAGGACATGAAAACCTCAGAGGTTAAAAACAACACGCTGGGGATTTTTCAAAGTAACTCAAAATGTGTTCTCTTCTGTTTTTAGCAAGCAAGCAGAATAGCTCCAGCAAGTGAAGTGGCAGGTATCGGTGGTCTTAAACTGTGTGTCTTGTCCGTATGAAGTTCAGGTGAAATGATAGCAAAGACTACCCTTTTTTGCTAACTAATGGTAGTCTCCAAGAGCAAGATGTATATTGGGAAAGGGAGAAGTGTTTTTAATAATTTTGTATGTACAGGTAAAGTCAGTTGACCTAAAAACAAAACAAAACCCTCCAGAATGTAAATCTTGACTGTTTTTTGGTTGTCCTAATGCCTCACTTCCCACTGCATATTAAATTCTGATGATGCAGTTAAACTTGATGACTTTAAAACTTCTCCCTTAACGAGATGCCATGTTTTTACACCCCACACCTCTTTAGGGAGAGTGTAAATTGTGAGTTGAGACAGAAAGAAGAACATGGAAGATAATGTGTACTTCGAAGGACATAATACTTCACGTGTTCCTTGTTCTTTTCTCAACAAGGAAGATCATTACAGAAAAGACATGCTCACAGTTAAAAAGGAAAAAAAAAGCCTTTGACAGAGTTTGTATGAACAAATTCTTTTCATGGTGAACTTGTACATATGTAAAACAGTGAACCTAGTTTTTGAGCTAGCTGCCTATTTCTTATTAGCATTTCTGCTACTATTGCACCAGACAATTTGGCAGATGGTCACAGAATCTGACTCCAATCTTACTAATACATTTCTGCTTTGAAAAGGGAAAAAGAGGTTAACATGTTTTAGTAGAAAAATCAGATGATGTTTACATGCAGAGACCACTTAAAAAGCTAACACAGGCTGCTACAAAATGACGAGCAAGAAAAGGAAAGTATTTTTTCTTTTTTTAAATGTAGGTATCATTGAACTTTATAAGGGATTTGCTTGCTTTGATGTTACCAGTAACATTAACATGTTTATTTCTTTTCATTTCTTTCTAAGTGGTACTAGTCTTCAATCTGATAGAAAAAGCCAAACCTGTTGACATTTTAAGCTCATGTGCTAAAATGAAATTATAAGTTGAACTACTGTGGATCTCTACCAGTCTGTATTGGCTGAACACGAACATCAGTATAGCTCAATATGTTGCTTATGGGGGAACTAAGTGAACATATTATGAAACATAATTGTTTCTAAATATTAGATAAAAAATCCCACCAAAAATGCTGCTGTTTCATTTAAAGTTATTTCTGTTCCGTGTTTAGGTTCAGGCACCTTCTACCCCCTCCCACTTCTGAACCAGGGCTCTCTAGGGTTTATCCATAGAATGGAGATAGGTGCCTGTCCAAGGTGCAGAGATAAAATGTTTTTTTAGGCCATGAATTGAACAAATATCATCGTAACATTCATACACACTGCATACTACCTCTTCCCATCATTTTTATGGCTGGTATTCTTAGTGAGTAATGGTTTAACTATTTTTTCCAGTCATGACAAGCAACAAACAGGGATGTGGCTTCTAGAACACTGAAATTAATGCTTGTGAGTAGCTGCTTTGATTTTTGACTAAATTTGCAAAATAGTTTTTTTTTTTTTTTTTTTTTCCCCATGCCTACTCTGAAACACTTTTGGATGGTAATGTCTTGAGATACCGGAATGCTTGTTCACCAGTATTATGGCCTGTATTAGAGTCCCTGTCTGAATGAGTCTAGTTTGTATTTCCTGTTGTCAGAAGAATGACACAAGCTTGTAATTCACAGTTTCATTGGTGGACGATGTCTTTGTTTTCTTGTTTCGTCATACACTCAAAGCTTCATTACAGTGTAGGTCATTGTAGAGGCATTTTTCACATTTTTTTTTTTAAGTATAACACTTCCAGAATGAGAACTGGAGCACAAACAGTTTGCAGTTCAATTTGGTGTATTCATAGTATGCTCGAAGACTGCAGTCATGGGCAAAGCTGCCAGGAGATGAACCAAAAAGCTAGTATGGAAATAATATAGAACTCTTCCTTTTGACTATAAAACAAAACTCAGAATGGTTCTCTAATGTAATCAACTGTTTCTCAATTTGACGTTTGTTACCATGTAAAAAGGAACTGGAGGAATAAAACAGTTCTACTCATGAATTATTTTATTTCACTGGAATCACATAACTTAAATTGTCACAACTTTTGTTGTGCCAAAACTAAATCTTAATACTGAGATGGAAAATGTTTGGAGACTTGTAGGGAAGTCCAGCTAAGCTGGGAAGAGAAGCTGTAAGACTTGTATCAGAGGTTGAGAATATACTTTACATTTGTCTGGAGGTAACACGCACAAGTTTCCATGCCTTCATCCCCAAATGTCCTTTTCCACTTTAAGGCGTAATCCTTTACTGGTGCTGTTTTGTGTAGCGATTGGGTTTATAATGTAGACAAATCAGACGAGAGAGCATGAGATGGACAGACATCAAAGTTAACTCGCTAAGGTGATGTGATACCCTATAGGCTGTGGTTACGTGTTGAGCAAGGTGAAATGTGTTCGTGAGCGCATGTGCTAAGAGAAATCCTGCAAAGCCTGGTGGTGTGATGATACGCATGGTTGGTGTAGGTAGGTTCATCCTCCAGCCTCTGCACAGGATTACTGCTGACCCATATTTGGAAATATGTGGTATTGGGGCAAGGTCATCTCCTTGGTGACTATGGCTTAGGCGAACTGGCTGAGACCTTCAGAGTGCAGCAGCTCACAGGACACACTTACAGACTTGCACAGACAAGCACAGCACTATGAGATGACAAACAACATGGAGGCTGTGCAGGGTGTGACGTTTGGACCTGCGCTAGGTGAGCAGTGCCTCTTCTCATCAGTGCTAATTAGCAGCACATGCTTACCCTTAATGAGGCTCTTGCAAATGGAAGACTTGGCTGTCCACGTTCTGTTGCAGAATCCATTTTTTTTTTCCACTGGACTTTGAAAATTTTGCTGAAATTGAAAAATTAAATGTAACCAAAAGTAGTAGAAGAGCCTACTCTTTACAGGAAATGATTTTTACTTCCTGCTGCCAAACTGCTTTGGTGAGGAAAAGTAAGGAGCTTTCCCTTATTTCTGGAGGGATTTCTTGCAGCTAGCCCAGTATGCCTTTTCTCAACAACTGTACTTCCCTGTGTTCTTGCTTGGAAGCTGCCTTCTTTCTGCATGGAATTTGGATTCAGAATAATTTTTTCCCCTTAACACAGGTTGCAGTACTCCGCACAGCCTTCAAGAAACAACTATAGTGTATCTGCATAGCTTTTTTCTTTTTGTTTTAGGTCTTGAGCATCCAAGTGAAATGTTTCCATGAGATCATTACTATAGGTTACAGAGTCTATCACTCCTATGATTTACCATGGTTTAGATCCCTCAGCTGGTGAGTAGCAAACAAGACCATCAATAAGTAGAGATTTGAAATTTAAGTCTCTTCATTCTTTGTATCCTGTTGTGGTGCAAGGATAGCTTTGTAGATTGTGTGCACATGGAAAACTTGACATCTGTTTCTACTGCAGGATTCTCTGTGTGCATGTATGTATACTTGAAGTCAGAATTAAACATCTGAAAGCTACCTAAAAATGTGCATAGCCAAATAATCACCTGATCAGTATTATCTGAACAGCTTTGACTTTTTTTTTGTATTTACCTTTGTGTAAGAAAATAACCAAATAGGTACTTTGAAGCGCTCCTTTTCACGCATAAGTAACTAAAATCATCATGTACAAGTTGTAAATCCTCACTCATTTTGCATTTAATCGCAATCACGGGAGTGAATAAATAAAGAGGTGTCGAGGGATCTTTTGATAGCCAGAAGATATAATTAATGTTACTGGCAAATCCCAGATAGTTGTGGCAATGCCCTGCTTATGCAGGGCTCTGTAGGGCTGGGGAAAAGATTTCTACTTCTGAGTTCTGGGAGGAGAGATGAAGGCATTTGATAAGAGGGAGTATTTTAGGAGGATATTGGGCACATGTTGTCTCTAAGGTGCTTGAGGACATAATTGTTCAGACCTGACCTATTTTATTTTTTTTGTTTGTTTGTTCAATTAATTGAAGTGATCCAAGGTACTCCTGCCTCTTGTCACATTGCTTCTTCACTTTAAGAAGCAATTTTACTGTGAAATATCAATTTATTCTGTCAGCTCTCTGTACAAGCTAGTTGGTTCCCTTTGCTCAGTCCTGGGTTATCAGTAGGACTTGTCTATCGTCTGTATTATTCTGTGGGTTCTGGATCTACTGCTGCAACAGAATCAGGTATTTATGACTGCAGTCCTGCCAAAATTCTTAGAGGATGTGCACTGTACCGCTTTGTCTGGTTTGGCATTTAACCACAGTCACCTGCATACATGGAGCTCAAAATCAACTTTTCCTGTTGCCGTGCTAGTTAAAATCAAAGTTTTGTTCAGTTGAACAGATGCAAGATATTGTTCTGTACTTTGAGAATATCTCAAAAGGACTTGCCCAAGTGTGGAGCACAAGTAGTTCTGTATGAAAGGATTTCTGCAATATCTGTTTTTCTAGTGTGGTTGCTGTAGAAGAAATAAACAACCAAAATTTGCTTGCTAAAAGTGAAAGAATGGAATGGTACTTGCATTTTGTTTCCATTGTGAACCTTTTCACTTTCCACCTTTTGGGTTTTCTTTTTGTGTGTTGGGTGGGAGGATAGGGGAGAGGGTTTTTTGTTGTTGTTGTTTTTGTTTGTTTTGTTTTGTTTTTGTTTTTAATGAATGACACAACGATGTATTACCTTGTTTAAGTAACAGCTGCTTCGTCTGTTCCAGGTACTTTTTGCTTTGTGTCAACTACTTTTTTTACGGGGAAACTGTGGCTGATTACTTCGGTACATTTGTTCAGAGAAGAGAACAGCTTCAGTTTCTAATTCGTTACCACAGGTTTATATCTTTTGCACTCTATCTGGCAGGTAAGTGAAGGAAATGGCAGAAATGGAAGAACAGTGTGCTGCATTTATTTCTGTGCCTGTTTGTTTTGCTTTGTTTTTAAGAAAAAAGCTTCTTAGCTCTATCGACTCTATTACTCTTTTTCTGGTGCTGTTGGAGGAAATTTACACTTTTATCATCAAAATATGAGTATAAATTTTGCATTCACCTAGAAGAAGGTAGTGGTCTAAAAAACAGTTGATGCTTGTTGGAAGGTTGAGCTAATAGTACTCATTAAGAGTCAACATGATTTAATTTTGATGGCAGAAGAATTTGGGTTCAGTACCTGAATGTATCAAGAGTAGTTTGTCAGTTTGTGGAAATGGCTTATATGTGTCATTACTGTGATGGGTTAATGCTTTATTGTGTAAGTGTTCTGCCAGGGCTACAGCAATAAGGTGTGTGATTATATTGTAAAGTGTTTATTCAAAAGGCCTCAGACTTTATTTTGTCTGTGAGATACTCTTTTGCTTGCCTCATGGATAAATGTTCCTCCCAGTCCAGGGAAAGAGTTCTTTAACAGCCTCCTTCCTGTGTCTGTGAACAAGTAAATGCAGTCCATGCGGCTTTCAGAAACACAACGTTAATGTTACTTTAGCCTTAAAAGTAATCAGCTGAAGACTCAGGTTGACCTAAGAAATGGGGAGACTGCCACACTGCAAGTATTTGTAAAATAGATGAAGAAACCTGATCTTCATAAAGAACTTTGTCTACTGCTACTGTTTTGTAAACCAAACAAAGCTTCTACTTCATGCTTAGATCACAAACTAGCAACCAGCCTTGCAAGACACAATCTGACCTTTTCCAGCCAGCTTCTCCCCAAGGAACCTAACACAACTAATGCTCATGGCTGCTGAAGGACGAGGAGGGGGAGAGCAGGCAGCAGCCACATACCCAGTGGGAGGCCAGGGGTCCTGCGGGTGGCCACCAGCCTCGTTCCTGCAGGGCGCTGTCATAGGGAAGGCCAGGACTCTGCATGCCCCCCAAGTTGAGGGGTGATATGTCTCCCTGGAATCTGCACTCTGCAGCACCCATGCCTCAAGGTTCTGTTGCCTGCAGCTGTATGCCTCTCTGGGGTAGAGGGGTGAGCTGGTGTTCACCTTCAGGTTATTTCCTGTTTGTCATTCAAATCAAGCTTGTTGGTCTGGCTTTGGGCACCTTTTAAAGGTGATGGTCTCATCCCCTAAAATTGATGTCCATGATGTGACCTTGTAAGTAATGAAACGGATGCTTCCTACTGATGTCAATTAAATGTTCTGCTCTAGTGAGAAGGATTCTCTGCCTGTGGTTACCGAACAGAAGTAGGTGCTCTAAACAGGCAGGTTGGAGACTGCTCCAAGGGAAGAGAATTACTGGTGTATGGTGGTTCAGTGTCATTACACATTCAGTAGTACAAACTATGCTTGCTTTGTTTTACAGGCTTCTGCATGTTTGTTCTGAGCTTAGTGAAGAAACACTACCGTCTGCAGTTTTACATGGTGTGTATTACCTACTTTGCCCTGGTCAGTTGCATACATATATCACTAGAAAGGGTCATGTCCTTACGTTCATAAAATACCTTGAAAGGTGGGGGTGTGAAACCAAGTGATGTTGGGCTGTTGGGTGTCTCTACCTATACATTGGGGTTTCTTATCGTCTCACAAAGCAGTCTTTCACTGAGCAAGGCCCTGTACACACTGTGACACTGCTCCTGTAGTGGCAGGTGGACAAGGGAGAGGCTCCCTCTGAGTGCGTGCGCCTTCCGTGCAGGTTGGAAGCCAGACACATTCGGCACGGGGTGGGACATGGTTCTGGTGTCTCAAGCACCTCTTTGCAGAGGCCCCATTGCAGTGGTAGGAAGGAAACCTGACCTGAACGCCTGCACAGGAGTTGGAGTCTGTGACACTTAACAGTTGTTCTGGCCCAGTGCTGTGCCCCAATAGATCATTCTTGTCCTGTAAGAAACCAGTGTTTCTGACTCCCAAATCTGATTAAAAATAGGAATGATCAGAAGCAACAGTAAAACAGTAATACAGTACTACTTGTCTTTAAAGAACTTGAGTGATCAGGGTGTTGTGCAACCTTAAAGATTACTTAAAGGTCAGTGGCTGCAGTTAACCCCTTTGTTTCTACAGGGCCTTAGGTGACACTTTACCACTGTGGGTCCCTCATTTTGGACTAGGACTTAGCTGAGCACTATAGCATTAAAAAACAACAGAAATTATATTCAAAAATGATTTACCCTATTTGTGGGAGAAGTTGCTTCACTGGGGGGAGATGCAGCTTTTTGGGAAGAGGTGATTTTGGTTTTGTAATCGACAAAGCACGTTATCTTTGAATTGGCACAAGGTAATTATATTTATTTTCCCTGATATCCCTCTCTTCCCTCCCCTCTTGCCTCTTCCTCCCCCCTCCCCGGAAAAGGAAGGGTAAACAAATGTAGTCAGTCATTTAACATTGTGATTGTCCAGAAAGCATTAAGGTGTGACTACAGAAGAATTTCAGTAGAACAGAGGGGAACCTTTTTTTGAGGAGGGAACAGGGGACGGACAGTTTGGACTGAAGAGTAGTAGCCATTTGTTTTGTGTTGGTTTTTCAGTACCACTGTATGATTAATACATGTTTTGCTGCAGAGATGCTTTAGTTAACCAGCAGGTAATATTTTCAGGAAGGTTGAGTCAGCTCTTGCACGTGCTTTCAGACTCTTCAGGTTTCTTAACTGCAAGTAGATGCTGGCTGCCACAGGAAAGCACACATGATAAGGAAATTAAGGAAGTAGGACATCCTGAGTATTAACTAGCACAGCCATTGTGTGCTTGAATTCAGTGTTGCCTGGAAAAATGAACAAGTTACTTCATGGTCCCCAGAGCTGTTAGGAGCTGATGAAGCTGGTTATGTAGGATGGGCTGGAGGCTGTTTGGGATGGTGAGGAGGTAAGGCAAGCCCAAGAGGTCATGAGGAAGCCCAGCCCTTGCCAGAGACAGCTCTGCTGCTCCCTGCTGTGCTACAGCTGAGCAGCATTCCAACTGCCAAGAGTTAAGCATTTGGTCATGTAAGGATGAAGTAAATCAGCATGTTCAGTGTTAGCTGCTACTGAGGGGAGAAAAAAAACCTGTTGCCAGTTCACTCTCACTGTTGATGAGAATTTGTACACTAGACTGCCTATTTTTTTGTCTTTGCTATGCTGAAAGTTCTGTCTAGGTGTGTTCCTGAGTGGTCATGAGTGAATGGTGAAGAAACAATGCCATGCTGGGGTCATACCAAGAGATTATTCTGAATAATATTGTGTCCATAGCATATCTGGTCACTTTATAGTTTGTTATTGTATCATGTATTTTCAAGCTGGAGTGATCAAGTTCCCCACAATAAAAATATGAGAGACTGTGACAGCAACCTCTTCTTGCTCTGGAATGGAACTATTTTGTCAGGTACTCCATTTAGTTTCTTCATGCAACAAGACCAGAAGAGCCATGACCTTCTTCCATAGAAGATGAGTTAAAATGAAGGTGAGGGAGTATGTTAGAGAGTTGGGGATTTTTGTTAAACCCATGTTTTATGTCACTCGTAGTATTTCTGAGAACATAGATCCCTATGCTTATGTAGGTGGGTAGAAAGAGTGCTGAGGGTGTGAAGTGCCCTTGAACATGGCAGGTCATGTTACAGCATCTGAATACTGGCCTTAGAAGACATGTCAGTATAGTATTTACATGCCAATACAGTGTTACTGCAGTATTTATAGTTTAAGTACTACATCATAGTTGTCTTGACTTGAGGAACTGATAATTCCTGCATCACCACGTAAGACATAAGCTTGTGACTGCATACTATTTTATGAAATAACTAATATTATTGCATGTTGAGTTTGTTTAGTGTGCTTTGCCTTTTTTTTGTTGTTGTTGTTGGTCATAGGAAGCAGATTTGATTGAAAGACTTGATGATTTGGATCTCAGAAATGATTGTGATGTTCCAGATGTTCCTTCATCAATAGACAGCACTCCAGAAATCCTCAGAAGGGCTTTGTCGGGCTTGTCTGCCAGGTATAGTAAAACAAACAAGCTCTCATATTTGAGAGCTGGTGAATAAAATTATTACTGATTGTATTGAGGTTTTAATTTTTGTTTGATCTACATGAAAATTAAAGACTAAATTTTTATTTGATATCATGATTGATATGTTTATGCTTCAGCCTGTTTAGTGCAATTTTTTTTGCATAGGACATGAAGATTGCCCATGTGAGCATTTCTAAATGAATTGCCACAATGTTTAGCTACAGTTTAGATAAACATTTGTGGTGGTTCAGTCTATGTATCAACAGATAAGACCAACAGATATTCCTTTACCTGGCAAAGCAGCGGCTTTGCTAACATAGGCAGTCAGCAATCCCCTGGTTTTGTCTGCCAGTCCTCAAAGATTTCTATGCTTTTTTCCTGGTAGCCTTTCTTTCATGGGTAAGCCTTTATGTGGCTGGTTCCCCATGGCTCCTGCTGTGAAATGCTCCCTGGGGATCATGATGTATTTTCACAGAACCTTTAAGGAGGGGCTGATGCATTAGATGGCAAATGAAGGCATTTTGTGGGGAGGAGAGGGATGGGGAAGAGGAAAGATGGCTCACTTGGCTTTCTTTATTGTGTCCCCTCGTGAGGTGGCTGGCTGCTTGGTTCTGTGTTTCTTACTGTGTGTCTTATTAAGCAAGAAGCCTGGTCTTCCTTCTGGTAACCATCTACTTGAGTCTTTGGTTAGGGAAGGAAGTGGCCATTATATTTAATTCTTACTGGTTGCTTTTTATTCTCTTTTTTCTTGGCAGATGGAAGAACTGGTGGATTCGTGGAATTCTAACTCTAGCTATGATTTCTGTGTTTTTTCTGATAATATACATGGGATCTTTCATGCTGATGCTTCTGGTAAGCTTGTTTAAAATCTTCTATTGTGCAAGAGTTACTTCATCTCCTTGTCATGCATAAGAAATAGGTGGAAGTCAAGTGCAGACATTACAGAAAACATTTTGTCTCTTAATTTGGTAAATACAAGTATTCTTGAAAAATTGGAAGAGTTTTCAATTGGACCTTGTGGATGAATGCCTTCTCAGCTACTTAAATTAGGTAGGAATTAAATAAGTTGAACAGTTCTTTACATTGAAGCTTATGAGATTAATGTCATTCATTTGCTTGGCTTGTTCCCACTACCTTCTCGTACCCTCTTTAAGACTTGCTTGAAATACACAGAAGGAGAGTTCCATTTTTCAGGCTGAGAAAAGCAAGCAGCTCTTGTCTGCCGGCAGTGCCTGGCTCTAAAAGACTTTGCTCACTCATGCTCTGTTAATTCCTTGCTTCTCTTTCCTTGCTTCTCTCCAGGGCTCTCTAGGGTTTATCCATAGAATGGAGATAGGTGCCTGTCCAAGGTGCAGAGATAAAATGTTTTTTTAGGCCATGAATTGAACAAATATCATCGTAACATTCATACACACTGCATACTACCTCTTCCCATCATTTTTATGGCTGGTATTCTTAGTGAGTAATGGTTTAACTATTTTTTCCAGTCATGACAAGCAACAAACAGGGATGTGGCTTCTAGAACACTGAAATTAATGCTTGTGAGTAGCTGCTTTGATTTTTGACTAAATTTGCAAAATAGTTTTTTTTTTTTTTTTTTTTTTCCCCATGCCTACTCTGAAACACTTTTGGATGGTAATGTCTTGAGATACCAGAATGCTTGTTCACCAGTATTATGGCCTGTATTAGAGTCCCTGTCTGAATGAGTCTAGTTTGTATTTCCTGTTGTCAGAAGAATGACACAAGCTTGTAATTCACAGTTTCATTGGTGGACGATGTCTTTGTTTTCTTGTTTCGTCATACACTCAAAGCTTCATTACAGTGTAGGTCATTGTAGAGGCATTTTTCACATTTTTTTTTTTAAGTATAACACTTCCAGAATGAGAACTGGAGCACAAACAGTTTGCAGTTCAATTTGGTGTATTCATAGTATGCTCGAAGACTGCAGTCATGGGCAAAGCTGCCAGGAGATGAACCAAAAAGCTAGTATAGAAATAATATAGAACTCTTCCTTTTGACTATAAAACAAAACTCAGAATGGTTCTCTAATGTAATCAACTGTTTCTCAATTTGACGTTTGTTACCATGTAAAAAGGAATGGAGGAATAAAACAGTTCTACTCATGAATTATTTTATTTCACTGGAATCACATAACTTAAATTGTCACAACTTTTGTTGTGCCAAAACTAAATCTTAATACTGAGATGGAAAATGTTTGGAGACTTGTAGGGAAGTCCAGCTAAGCTGGGAAGAGAAGCTGTAAGACTTGTATCAGAGGTTGAGAATATACTTTACATTTGTCTGGAGGTAACACGCACAAGTTTCCATGCCTTCATCCCCAAATGTCCTTTTCCACTTTAAGGCGTAATCCTTTACTGGTGCTGTTTTGTGTAGTGATTGGGTTTATAATGTAGACAAATCAGACGAGAGAGCATGAGATGGACAGACATCAAAGTTAACTCGCTAAGGTGATGTGATACCCTATAGGCTGTGGTTACGTGTTGAGCAAGGTGAAATGTGTTCGTGAGCGCATGTGCTAAGAGAAATCCTGCAAAGCCTGGTGTGATGATACGCATGGTTGGTGTAGGTAGGTTCATCCTCCAGCCTCTGCACAGGATTACTGCTGACCCATATTTGGAAATATGTGGTATTGGGGCAAGGTCATCTCCTTGGTGACTATGGCTTAGGCGAACTGGCTGAGACCTTCAGAGTGCAGCAGCTCACAGGACACACTTACAGACTTGCACAGACAAGCACAGCACTATGAGATGACAAACAACATGGAGGCTGTGCAGGGTGTGACGTTTGGACCTGCGCTAGGTGAGCAGTGCCTCTTCTCATCAGTGCTAATTAGCAGCACATGCTTACCCTTAATGAGGCTCTTGCAAATGGAAGACTTGGCTGTCCACGTTCTGTTGCAGAATCCATTTTTTTTTTTTCCACTGGACTTTGAAAATTTTGCTGAAATTGAAAAATTAAATGTAACCAAAAGTAGTAGAAGAGCCTACTCTTTACAGGAAATGATTTTTACTTCCTGCTGCCAAACTGCTTTGGTGAGGAAAAGTAAGGAGCTTTCCCTTATTTCTGGAGGGATTTCTTGCAGCTAGCCCAGTATGCCTTTTCTCAACAACTGTACTTCCCTGTGTTCTTGCTTGGAAGCTGCCTTCTTTCTGCATGGAATTTGGATTCAGAATAATTTTTTCCCCTTAACACAGGTTGCAGTACTCCGCACAGCCTTCAAGAAACAACTATAGTGTATCTGCATAGCTTTTTTCTTTTTGTTTTAGGTCTTGAGCATCCAAGTGAAATGTTTCCATGAGATCATTACTATAGGTTACA